AGACGACTAATGCTATCAGACGACTAATAAAAAGGAAAATAGTATTCCAAGTTCCGAGAAGACGAAATTTTACAATTCACACTAAATCGAAATTAGTATAGAAAACAACAAAATTAACTGTAAAACCGAAAACGAAAATAACTATTTTGGTAGTAAGAAATCAGTCACTGATTCAAATACAGTCGAACCTGGATAAGCCAGAGTTATTAGCTGGTCCCGTCATTTTTACATGTAAAAACCTCTATAAGCGATATTCTGTAAGCGAGAGTCATTTTTCTCCTCCGGACCTCTATGAGTGAGAAAAACCACCCTAGGACCTCTATAAGTGAGAGTTTCTGTTCCCACTTGAACCTCTATAAGCGAGAGTCTTGACGGTATATTTCAAAATGTTATTAAACTATTGTGACTAATGAATTTTCAGCTGATGTAGATAAGTCTGTTGAGGTAACAAAAAATTTTGTAACAACAACAAACGAAATTTGTTAGTTCTATGTTAACAATTATTTTTTCTCTGTGAAGGAAGTCTAAAACCTTTATAAGCGAGAGAAATCGCTCTTAGACTCGCTTATCCAGGTTCGACTGTAGTAATATTTTACTAATACAATAGTTAATAATAACTAATATAACTAGTTATTAAATTGATTATTAATTATTAAATTTGCTTTTAGGTCAAGACAAATTTAATTTTTATTTATTGTTTAACTATTAACTATTTTTGTAGTTATTTATTTTTTAATATTTTGTATTTTTCTTACTAATAATTAGTAATTTAATAGTAATAATTATAGATTTATTACCAATAATTAGTTATTTTTCATGAAATGCTGTAGCAAAAATTCAGCTAACGTTTTACACATATTTATTTATTTTTTACTAAATGCTAAAGCAAAAATTCAGCCACGATTGTACACCGAAAAAAATGCCTACTATCCGCGAGAAAATGATAGGTCCCTGAAAAATGTTCGAATTTGACTTGAAATATCTCTGTTAAAAAAATTGTTTGAAAAAAATGAGAAATATTTTTGGAAAGCGTGGAATCTTATATGTTTGTATACGAAAGGCCAATATTGGAAAAAAAATTTTGCACCGTACAGGTGCAAAATTACATCACAGTGTACCCCATTTTTCGACATTTTCAAAAATGGTCGACTTTGGTACAAGATTTTACACGGAAGCGATTATTCAAAAAATTCGAAAAAAGGACTATTTATTAACTGAATCTGTCCAAACGAATTTGCTTTATAATTATTAAAAAATCTTAATTATTATTGTATTTATTAACAATAATAGGAGACAATGTTATCTCTGGTTCTAATAGTCTAATTGAAATAAATCAAATTGGAAGTTGTAAATAATTAATCTTTTTATTATCTTAGCTCATTAAAAAAAACGAAATTCTTCTATTAATTACATTTTTCAACAATTATTTGGACAGTTTTTTTTTCTTGAGAACAGGTGTAAAACGGTTGCGAAAACCCAATTTTTTTCGACAAAATCTTAACCCTGTCATAAATAAAAATCTGGCATGCATTGTATAGCCTATGTGAAAAAAATTCTAAGCTTTATTCTGAGTCCACATTTTGGAGAAGTTCGTAGTATTAATTATGACAGGGTTAAGATTTTGTCGAAAAAAATTGGGTTTTTGCAACCGTTTTACACTTGTTCTCAAGAAAAAAAACTGTCCAAATAAATGTTGAAAAATGTAATTAATAGAAGAATTTCGTTTTTTTTAATAAGCTAAGATAATAAAAAGATTAATTATTTACAACTTCCAATTTGATTTATTTCAATTAGACTATTAGAACCAGAGATAACATTGTCTCCTATTATTGTTAATAAATACAATAATAATTAAGATTTTTTAATAATTATAAAGCAAATTCGTTTGGACAGATTCAGTTAATAAATAGTCCTTTTTTCGAATTTTTTGAATAATCGCTTCCGTGTAAAATCTTGTACCAAAGTCGACCATTTTTGAAAATGTCGAAAAATGGGGTACACTGTGATGTAATTTTGCACCTGTACGGTGCAAAATTTTTTTTCCAATATTGGCCTTTCGTATACAAACATATAAGATTCCACGCTTTCTAAAAATATTTCTCATTTTTTTCAAACAATTTTTTTAACAGAGATATTTCAAGTCAAATTCGAACATTTTTCAGGGGCCTATCATTTTCTCGCGGATAGTAGGACCCGTATACCAGGAATTGACTAGGTTTCCTAGTTACGAGAGGAGCCAACTATAGAATCCTGGTCAAAGTAATAAGATTCAAGCATAGTTAAAGTGACCAAGAAAATTAGTCGATGTAATCAGGAAAAAATAGTCAGATTGACTAGGAGAATAATATTAGATTTACACTGTGTAACATAATTATTTGAAATTGCTAATCAAATTCTTATTATCAAATAAAAGAGAAAAACTAATTAAAAGAAAAAAGAAAAAAATTATTTATAGTATTTGAACATATTTATATTTGACTTTGTATTTATATACCTTAGAATTAATTTAAACTTATGAAATAAATATTTGACGCAGGGGGGACGCGAACACCTGAACCTAACGAATACGCACTTTGAAACCCGGAACGATAACCACTACACTAAACACGACTTGGTATTTTAATTTTTTAATAGACACTAGATTTTCGAGTCAAAATACAATACTTAATCAGATGATGTTTTATACATTTCGAGTACACAATTTTATACACTTGTCAAAAACTACCTATATATTTTTAATTATTTATGCCATTTAAATGAAAATAAATTTAAATACACAAATTATTGTAAAGGTAAATTTTCAAACACACTGCGCGATTAAAATAGTAAAAATGTTGTCACCATGTGCGTAAAAATTTCGACGATTTATATTGAAACCTAACCAAAAAAGTCTGAAAGAATTGACTAATATAATTAAATAGTTTACTTTCTAAAACATGGACTATCTATATTTCCAGAGGTTCCGAGAAACCAGCAATTTTTATGTATGTAAGAACTCCATTTTATGTACAAAAAATAGACGCGAGTAATGATAAAAAATCGTTTTAGGAAATCACGATAAATGACGCGAAAGATATAGAGGTAAACACTGTCAGAACAGAAGCAGACGCGTGCGCATTATGGAAATAGGCAAAATTACTAAAATCCTAGTCAATTTGACTAGGATTTGCAGGGTTGTTTTTGCCAGGCTTGAATTTGTTGAATCAACCTAGCGATCCTAACCATAATGATTAGGAATCCTTATTACTTTTACTAGATAATTAAGATTAACTATAGAGTCATAGTTAATAATACCATCGAGATTTTTTTCGGTGTACTGCACGGAAAAAAAAAGTTCGAAGATTATTCGGGAACTTCGTTCTTAACTCTTGGATACGGCGGGTAGTTCACAGAGAACTAAAGGTTGCCTCGTTTAAATATGTCATTTACTATTTCTCTACAAATTATAACTATTTCACCACTTCTCGGCAAACTGTTCTTGAAAAAGTCAGGAACTGTTCAAGAAAATCGAAAAGTTAGGCGAATGCAAGAAAAAATGGATTCTGCTTCCCCCCTCCCACTTCCCCTCCTTGACACGTCCGCACACACACACACATTTATCCTTGAAGATCACATACAATTTTTATTTTTTATTAAGTTTCTGAAATAGAAAAAACCATATGAGAGAAAAATCGACGGCGGCTGGAACAGAACTCGCGTACCCGAGGAATAGAAGTCCGGCGTCTTATCCATGTGAGCTAAACAGGAGCGTTAAATACCTCAGCATAAAATAAATATATAAGGCACGCAAGTCTTACTGACGTTGAGACTGGTGCGCACTGGGTTTCTGCGCACCAAGATTCCTTGACGAGTTCCCGAAAATTTCAGAAACAGTTGCGGCCAGTGCCATGGACTTTACATGAGAAAGAAATGAAAAAAAGACTATTGGACTATTTACAGCGTTTTCTAATACAGTTCCCGAATTTCTTTCAAACATTCATTGATTACCATTGAATGTTCGACGCTAGTTCAGAGCTGTTACCACGTATCCAAGAGTTAGGAAATAATTCCTGAAATATCTGGGAACTTTTTTTTTCAGTGTGAATATTAATTATTTTTAACTAATTCAGATTTAGAGAGCTCGAATTGGTAAAAAATAACTAATTATTAGCTAATTCCTTTAATAAACAATTCAGTGATATATCATTAGTAAAAAGTGTCAAATTCAGAATTACAAACCCCCCTCCCTCCCTTCTCTTCAGTTGCTACTGTGTTTTTATTTCCAGGCCCAATATGTGAGTAATTGCAATAGCAACGGCAATGTTAGCATGAATTCATTTGGGAGAGAGAAAGAGAGTGAGAGGGAGGGGGAGAGGGAAACATTTGGAAATGGTTCGAGTGTTTAAGGGATACGTGGTGTAACTAGGTCAAAAGTTGTTTCGCATTTGCGTCATCAGTTTACGTCCCGGTGTTTGTAACACATCAGATTTTGCTTCTTAATTGGCTGCCCTCGTTTCTCACTTTATATTTCGTCCACGCTATAAGGGGAGGTCAAATCCAACACCCACCCCCCTGTCTCTCCCTTGGGTAATACCATTTCCAATTCTCAATGACAGGAATTTAAACGAACTAATGTTAAAAAAATTACCTAGGAAAAAAGAGATAGATTGCTTCCCACATTTCAACATATATACACAACCACCCCTTTTTGTTGCACAAACTTTTTTTCTCTCCCTCTCTCTATACGTTTATGTCCTTAAAAGACAAGTTTGTAGTCATTATTAAAAGATGTATTCAATTATTATTACTATTATATTTGAGCCTTTTTATTACAAAATAATAATAATAATAGTTATTATTATAATAAACAAAATAAACTATTTATAATTAAAAATACTTTTACTTAAAAATATTTTTAGTTGAAATGCTTTTAGCTAAAATATTATATAAATAATTAATAATAGTTATTATTATTATCATTATCATCATGTTTCACTGCGGAATTTTTTATTTAATTCTAGGTAAGAAATCTTCCTCCCTGGAAAATATATACATATTAGATGCGAGCTTTTACATTTTTTACGTCACGTAATTGAAGAATTTAATATTAACTTCGTTTGACGTCACAAGTTTAATCCAGTTGAATTAGTTCTACATTTTCACAATTAATCCCATGAGGGTATGTATAAAAAAATTATGCTCTTAAACTTTTCTCATAAGACAATAAATTCATATAAAGAAAAATCAAAAAAATACATCTACCAAAATTCAAATTTTTCATTAGGTTAAAAAAGAATTATTTCCCTATTTGTACTAATTTGTTTATACCTAGTTAAAAATATTTTCAGTTAATGTGATTTTTAGTATCTAAAAAATATTATTTTAACTATAGAAATATTCTGCCGTACTTGGTAAAAACTTGGTTAAGTCACTTTTTTGTGAAAAATGAGTTTTTTATATCAATGGATTCGTAAAAAAAACTGCATCTACTTATGTTATTAAAAAATTTTATTTTAATTATTTATTGCAAAAAATAATTATTAAAAATCTGCGAAAATCGAGAAAATAAGGAAATACTTGAGAAAAAGTATAGTAACTCGAGTTACGTAGTGTAAAAATCGTAGAAGGCAATGAGCTCGAGCATAAGATAAGAAACAAAAACTTAGTCAAGTCGACATAATATTTCTGCTATCAAAAACATAGTGAATACTCAGCTTTCGTTTCGAAGCAAAAACCTTAAGTCGAGTTAACTGAGTTCTTATTTCGAAAAGTGGCATGAGCCAGACACTGTGTTTCGAAAGCAGACTCCTTAAGTCATAAGATTCCACCACGTGTGCCCAAGTAGAAATGTAATACTGGCATAGTACTGATCTTGTACTGACTGCCAGTATTGCAGTACTGACTCCAGTACTAAGTCAGTACTGGGAAAACCCTGGCTGGTAACGCTGTCCAGTACTGATTTTTACCGGCGGTCAGTATAAGCTCCTTATTTAATTATTAAAGCATGGGGAGTAATTTATTGAATACTAATAATTATTATTAGTATTAATTATTATTAATTAATTATTAGAATTCCTTTTATTAAAATAAGTTTTAAAAAAATATTTTTCTTATTTTTTCATTATTTATTTAAATCTTATTTATTTAAATTAATGACTAAATTATTATTATTACTGGTTATTAATTATTTAAACTTATACTTTATGTAACACTGTTAAGAATTATACACAAAACACTTAAAACTAAGACGGAAAAATATCGCACGCACGGGGGACCGAACCCTAGACCTCGAGGACGCAAGTCGAATACACATACCGCATAGCCACGCAAGCTCGGGAGTTATCTCGCATAAACTTCCTTTTGAATTGTGGGACCGATATATACAGTGCTTTAATAATAAATCCACTGCATATTATATTTATTTCAAGAAAAATTATTATACATATATATCTTTATATACATTTTATCAAGTCATTATGTAGTAATTAATAGATACATCATAATAATATGGTAAAAATTATTAATATAATTATTTATTTATTATTTATAATCTAATTATTTATTAAAATAATAATAAAAAAAAAATTTATTTAAGAAAAATTTTTGTTAAATAAATAAATAAAAATATATATACAGCTTTAAAAAATAAAATTTTTTTTATTATTAATAATACGTAATAATTCTAAAAATAATTTATTAATAATAATTTATTATTATATTATTAAAATATATCTATTAGTTAATAATAAATTAATAAAATGTTTGATATTATTGTTGATGAATAATGTTTTTACAAATCTTTGCAAATATTTTAATTGTTAATAAATCAAACGATGTTTAATGTTTAATTACATTATAACAAATTTTGATTGTTTTTTTAACTCCTTCGCAGTACTGATTTAGTGTTAAGCCAGTTTTCTGCCAGTACTGATTTTAGAACTTTTCTAACTCCGACATAGTACTGATTCGGTTTTGGAGTCAGTATACTCCCAGTACTGATCGGGTTCCGAAAGTCAGTACCGACGGTCAGTACTGAGTCAGTACCATGTCGGTGTTTAACTCCGTCCTAACTCCGGACATTTCTACTTGGGTGGAGTTAACTGAGTTCTTGCTTCTGATCGGCGGCCTGAACTCGACTACCTTTTCGCTGAGCACTCCTTAAGTCAATTTAACTAAGTTTTGCTTTTAAAAATAACACTTAAGTCCATTATTTAATATAATTTGTTTAAATAATTAATTTTTGACTGCAGAATTAAAAAGAACTCTATCAATTTACCTAGGAAGAAATGACGAAAAACTGTTTGTATTAATAAACCTAATATAGTATAAAAAATTATTTAATTTAACTTTACTTCCTAGGTAAATTGATAGAGTTCTTTTTAATTCTGCAGTCAAAAATTAATTATTTTAACAAATTATATTAAATAATGGACTTAAGTGTTATTTTTAAAAGCAAAACTTAGTTAAATTGACTTAAGGAGTGCTCAGCGAAAAGGTAGTCGAGTTCAGGCCGCCGATCAGAAGCAAGAACTCAGTTAACTCCACACGTGGTGGAATCTTATGACTTAAGGAGTCTGCTTTCGAAACACAGTGTCTGGCTCATACCACTTTTCGAAATAAGAACTCAGTTAACTCGACTTAAGGTTTTTGCTTCGAAACGAAAGCTGAGTATTCACTATGTTTTTGATAGCAGAAATATTATGTCGACTTGACTAAGTTTTTGTTTCTTATCTTATGCTCGAGCTCATTGCCTTCTACGATTTTTACACTACGTAACTCGAGTTACTATACTTTTTCTCAAGTATTTCCTTATTTTCTCGATTTTCGCAGATTTTTAATAATTATTTTTTGCAATAAATAATTAAAATAAAATTTTTTAATAACATAAGTAGATGCAGTTTTTTTTACGAATCCATTGATATAAAAAACTCATTTTTCACAAAAAAGTGACTTAACCAAGTTTTTACCAAGTACGGCAGAATATTTCTATAGTTAAAATAATATTTTTTAGTCATAAAAGCTTTTAGTTAAGAATATTTTCAGTTTCAGTCGAGAATATTTTTATTTAAAAATATTTTCAATTAGTACCTAATATTTTAAGTTCACAATATTTTGAGTAAAACATATTTTCAGTTAACAACATTTTTAGTTGAAAATACTTTTACCTAAAAATATTTTATTACTATTAATATCATTTCAGTAATAATAGAAATAAAAATAATAGTAATAGAAACAACTAAATTTTGTTTAATATACAATTATTTTTAGAAGTTTTTGACAGCAAAATGAACTAAATTTTGCTGTTATATAAAGGAGCTTCAGTGATAATTTATGAATGAAATTATGTGCATATAGACGTCTGACTTAGAAATGTCATATACCTCAAGCTGTACGTTTATATTTAATCGAATTTCTAATAAACTGAAACTTCACTAAACAGACTGTTTATTTAACTGGATTTCTAATTTGACAGAATTTATGTATTTTTTATAAATCTACTGTCTACTTAATAGAATTTTTATTAAATTATAGTTTTTTGAAAACAATTTTTACTTATTTCATAATATACAGTATACTCAGTCACAAAAATATTTCTAGTCTAGATAGAAATCTGTTCAGTGAGAAAAATATTGTTAATTAAAAATACTTTTAATTAACAATATTATTAGCTCAAAAATGTTTTCACTCAGAAATATTTTTAGTTAATGATATTTTACGATTAAAAAGGTTTCTAGTCAAAGATATTTTTAATCAAAAATATTCCTAGTCAAAAATATTTTCATTCAAATATATTTTAATTATTATAAATTATTGTTCCCTTAACAATCAACTTTGTTAAATAAAAATTTTCAGAAAACGAAAATTCTCTTAAATAAAAATTCATTTGCATAGAAATTCGCTTGAAAAATTTTTCTATAAAAAGAATTTCCTCTTCTTTAGAAATGATCACAAATGAAAATTCATTTCTGAAAAAATGTCCTTCTGTAAATTAATATTGACATGGGCGAATTTCCCTTTTTTACGGGTAGGGAAATTCTCGTCAAATTTTGTTCACAGAAGAGTGCTGTGAAACTATTAAAGGGGCAGATTGAAATTTTTAGTATTTTAAGGGTGGCCGGTTGACCCGCGAGAATTTAGGGGACATGAAATTTAACCCTTATGGGGAACTGCATGGGGAACCAATGCAACCCTCAGTGCTGCGAGGTAGGTTAAATTTTGGTATCGTCGTTGAGCGGGGGGGGGGGGGGGGGGGGGTACGTGGCAGTGAGGCGGACGATGTGGGCCTTTGAGCTGACATCGTGGTTAGGAGAGAATTGGCAGGCAGGCGGTGGGGGACCCAAGGCGGCTGGAGAATAGCTTCCTTCCTTCTCCTTCTGGCTGGTAGGAAAATGGGTGTAAGGAGAAAAATTGAGCAGACTTGCGTGAAATTCAAGTTAGCTTTTATTAATTCTTGGCTCGAACCGGTACCTCCCCCTCCAGGCAACGAGAGGTCGGGTACGGTTGTCGAAGTACATAATTCGGTGATCCGCTTATATCTACGCACTGAGCGAAGTCATATTCGCACGAATCGCGTATGCGCACCACACAGCACTTCATGTAATTAATATGGAAAATTGCGTAGCTTTACCGGTAAGTGGCCGAGAACAGGCGCCACCTACGGTGAAAATACCGTAAGGTCGCTCATTTTTCCGGATCGATCAAATAATTAAAAGTGAGGAAAAATCCCTCACGTCAATATATAAAAAATATAATTTTTCAAAAGTTCATTTTAATGTTTTTAAACAGTTTTTAACATATTTTATACAACATTTTTTCTCCAAGAAATCATTTTTTAAATTAAAATTTGTTTCCTTTATTAAATTAAAAATATAAAATACTCAGTTGCTACATGCAAAAAAGAGTAGAAAAGCGAACATATAGCGTCACTATATAATCATGCAAACTACAACTATTAACATTTAAACAATAGAAAATTTTCGCCATTAAAACTATGTAATTATCCAACAGATGTCATCAAGAAAATTCATTCCTCGCATAAACAAGATGAAGTGGAGTTGTTTTAAGAATCATATATACGTATATACTTTTTTCCCACTACCCGAGGGAAATAAAACCAAATTAAAAAAATTGAAATTAATTTTTCCAAGAAAAAAGAATAATCTCTTTATCACCATTTCT